TGATTTACATAACGGACATCATTTTAATTGAGTATAATAATTTTAAAACATGCTACTCATATATAATTTACAAGTAGCGCGATGGGCATGGTTAAAATAGGAACCAAGGGACAAAAGCTCGAAGCCCTAATAATGTGATTTACATAACGGACATCATTTTAATTGAGTATAATAATTTTAAAACATGCTACTCATATATAATTTATAAGTAGCGCGATGGGCATGGTTAAAATAGGAACCAAGGGACAAAAGCTCGAAGCTATGTTCTTGGTGCCGATCAGAGCAATATATGTATGTATGCATATATGTATGTATGTATGTAAGTGCGTATGTATACATGCATGTGTGTGTGTGTGTTAAACGAGTGGACAGCAAAGCCAGGGGTCCAGACATTGAATGCAAGATAAATGCAGGAAAATAAAATATCACAGCTACCAGGATTTTTGAAACTAACTAAAATAACCTAAGGTGACTCGAGTTCTTACGTAAAAACTATTCATAATATCGAAATACATGCTTTCTGTGTACATTAATAAAGTCGATGGTATCGGAAAATACAAGTTTCCTTTGTCGATACCTGTCCCAGGAATAAATGGGATTTGAGACAGAGTTGGATTGTCCTGAAAGTCATATCTGCCCTGCGATCCATTGGCATCAGTGGCTTTGTGGTGGAATGACAATTATGCGGCTCTACATGCACAATCCGGTCTCGAATACTTTTATTACGTACGAAATAGGCTAACGGAAGGTCAAAACTGCTCTCCACCCTGATTGCGAAAACCTTTCAGGAGGCAAGGATAATAGAAATTAGGTAGCGTCGTGTGGAGAACTCAGCTATCCGTCCTTTGATTAAATAAAGCGGCTTAGAGTGACTCGAGCTATAGTGATTTATCGAAGGTATGAAGACCAAGATGGTGTGGCCTTTTGTGTGGTCGCAGTCTCCTTTCGTTGTATAAAGGTTGTTTGACCTTGTTTTCGCAACATGGTCGAATTGGTAGGAAGACTTATTGGAACGCACCTAGTCCGGAGTCCATTGTCTGCATGATCATTTCCAAACTTCAACCGTGGACGTGGTACAATCCCAAACGTTGTAGGCATTTTTAGTGAGTATCGCCATTCTTAGCACCACACAACAACTCGTCGAAGAGACAAGTGAAGCA